GTTCAGCAGCAGGTCTGCAGTCTGTATGATCCTTTTTTGCTACTGTCTATGTAGAACGCCATTTTTCTTTCCTCCTTATGTCCAGCATTTCAGTTTCAACCTTGGCTGACTTTTGGTTTTGCTGGTGCCAGCTCTTGCATCAACCTTCAGGAGGGCTATCCTTCATCTTTTCATCCAGAAAAGATCTTAGAAATCTAATAGTTCAGGGAAGTCTGCCCTGTGTCTCTGGCAAGGCCCTCCTCAGTCTTAAGGCAGGGCTTAGTAGTAGCAAGTCCTCTTTCTTCCACTGAGATAGAGCAGTGAGATACTAATAGAACTTCCCAGTCAACACAGGGTGTGCTTTGAGTTAGGGGTGAACAACAATTGGAGAAGAGCCATCTGATAGTCATGGGGATAGGTGGGCACTGTTAACAGCACTTTGCAAGCTCTTTTTACTCTGGTTAGCACTCATACCAGAGCTTTACCAGGATTTCTGAAGTGTGTGCTTTTTTTTCCTCCTCCTTGTGCTGATCTTTCCTTCATATTAATCAGTTTTTTCACTCTCTCCTTTATTTAGCCTAGACTGGGTTTAACAGATATTAATACCATGTGGTGCCTACTCTTTTCAGCACGTGCTAACAGATATTTCCATGGTGGCAGCAGGAGACACTATTTTAAATCAGTGCCTTCAGTACAGTAAAATGCCACTCTTCTGGAAGTGTCAGAAGTGTCCTGCAGTGCTTCCTCCTTTATCCTAGAGAAGCTGTGTTGGTAGTTTAGTCGCACTGACCACTCCAAAAAAGATAAGTTACTGTCTGTCTACTTTACCAAGCTGGGATAAGCCTTCCATAAGTTTTGTGATTGTGTAGAGCCATTCTACCATCAGAGTGGTCTTTTGTCCCATTGGTAGGCTTCTGGAACTTTGAACACACCTTTGAGTCAGGAGATTTTTGTGTGCTTATAAATTCATTTGCTTTCCTCATTCAAGAGAAGTCTTTTGACATCATGATTTGCCAACTCTTGTAGCTCTTTGACATCCTAGCAAAGTGGCATGGTGTGGTACAGACCTTGGTGTCTGACCATCTGAGAGAGCCAAGGCCAGAGTTTCTCTTTACAAGGGCTATTCTCAGCTACATTTTTGTTTTACTCTGAAAATGTTTCTGTACTTCAGGGTATGATACCTTTTTATTTTGAGCACTGCTCTATGAATTGATCTGCACCCTGCTGTACTTATTCCTCTGATTCAGGGAGTAATAGCATTTTGAGTTTGTTAAAAGATTATGTGAATTTACACTGCTCTAGAAAAAGTAATCTGTGTCATTGTTCTGGTTTCTTTTAAAATTTTCTTGTCTTTTCACTTGTCGAGTGTCTTGTCTCTGAGGCTTTGAGCTTTGGTGACCTGTCATAGAATGTGTGGGGTTGGAAAGGACCTTTAAAGGTCATCTAGTCCAGCCCACCTGCAGTGCACAGGGAACGTTTTAACTAGATCAGGTTGATCAGAGCTTTGTCAAGCCTGACCTTGAGTGTCTCCAGGGATGGGGCCTCCACCACCTCTCTGGGTAACCTGTTCCAGTGCTTCACCACTCTCATAGTAAAGAACTTATTCCTGATATCCAATCTAAATCTACCCTGCTCTAGTTTAAGGCCATTGCCCCTTGTCCTATTGCTCCATGTCCTTGTGAACAGCCCCTCCCCAGCTTTACTGGAGCCCCTTCAGGTACTGGAGGGCCACTATAAGGTCTCCCAGAAGCCTCCTCCTCTCCAGGCTGAACAATCCCAGCTCTCTCAGCCTGTCTTCACAGGAGAGGTGCTGCAGCCCTCTGATACTGTTTGTGACCCTTCTCTGGACCTGTTCCAACAAGTCTGTGTCCCTCTTGTGTTGAGGACTCCAGAGCTGGACACAGTATTCCAGGTGTGGCCTCACAAGAGGCAGAATCACCTCCCCTTGACCTGCTGGTCATGCTGCTTTTGATGCAGCCCAGGACACAGTTGGCTTTCTGGGCTGCAAGTGCACATTTTGTTTGCTCATGTCCCAGCTTTTTGTCCACCAGTATCCCCAAGTCCCTTTCCACAGGGCTGCTCTCTATCACATCATCCCCCAGCTTGTATTGATCATGAGGACTGCCCCTGCCCAGGTGCAGGACCTTGCACTTGGCCATGTTGAACCTCATGGGCCCAGTTCTCCAGCTTGTCCGGGTCTCTCTGCATGGCATCCCATCCCTTTGATGGGACACCCAGCTTGGTGTCACCTGCAAACTTGCTGAGGGTCCCCTCGATCCCACCATCTATGTCATTGAGGTAGATATTAAACAGCACTGATCCCAGTATGGACCTCTGAGGGACACCACTTGTCACCCTCTCCATCTGGACATTGAGCCGTTGACCACCACCTCCTGGATGTGTCCATCCAGCCAATTGCTTATTCACTGAATAGTCTACCCGTCAAATCCATATCTCTCCAGTTTAGAGAGAAAGATGTTCTTAGCAACCCGGTTTAAGCACTGGACTTGGTAGAGTTAGGTTAATGGTTGGTAGAGTTGGTTTATGGTTGGACTTTATGATCTTAAGGGCCTTTTCCAACCAGAAGGATTCTGTGATTCTGTGCTGTTTTAGGAGACCATGTCAAAGGCCTCACAGAAGTCCAGATAGATGACATCCACTGCTTTTACCTTGTCCACAGATGCAGTCACTCCATTGTAGAAAGCCACTAGGTTAATTGGGCAGGACTTGCCACTAGGTTAATTGGGCAGGACTTGCCCCTAGTAAAGCCATGCTAGCTATCTCAAACCACCTCCCTGCCTTCCATGTGCCAGGAAGAATACAGAACGTCAAGGAGGATCTGTTCCATGATGTTCCTGGGCACTGAGGTGAGGCTGACAGGTCAGCAGTTCCTGGAGTCCTCCTTTCTGCCCTTTTTTGAAATGGGTGTATTGTTTCCCTTCATCCAGGCACCAGGGGCTTCCCCTGATTGCCAGGACTTTTCAAATATCAGGGAGAGTTCCCTCAGGACTCTGTAATGTATCTTATCAGGTGCTGTAGACTTATATATGTCCAGATTTTTTTTTTTTAATTTTTTTATGAATAATATACTAAGAAGGAGATTTGTTCTTTTGACTTCTAGGTTCCAAAAGAGAAAGACGAAATGGTGGAGCAAGAGTTTAATCGTCTGCTGGAAGCTACCTCTTATCTTAGTCATCAGTTGGATTTTAATGTTCTCAATAATAAGCCTGTCTCCCTCGGGCAGGCTCTGGAAGTTGTCATACAGTAAGTGACCTCTGTCCTTGTGGTAGGCTTTCCTATTTTGGCGATGGTTTTCCTCAAGATACCTAAACCAATTGTGCTGCTCCTAGTGTCAGCAATTCCCACTTCATCCAGCTGTTTGGTCTCTGCTGAGTTCTTGTTTGTATAGCTGTTTATTGTTTATTGAAGCAAAATATGTCAAGGGTGGTTAAAGGAGAAAACATCTTTTCTTGAACACTTCCTGAAAATCACTACTACAGTAATTGAGAATGGATGATTGATTTAGTATTGATATACATCTAGCCCACTTAATTTTTAATATGCCTTTTAATAATAGTAGGTAACTTCATACTTATGTTTTAGCTAGTCGAGTATTCTTTATTTACAGAAACTTGTGTTAGTTTTCCTGCTGCCATACAAGTATTTACTAAAATATCCCATTCCATGTGCTTTTAATGCATTGCACTCCATAGATTGTGACAGTGAATTTTCTCAATAACATGAGGATTTTATGGTGAGCTGACTCTCACTCCTCACCTTTTCCAGATTGCAGGAGAAACATGTGAAGGATGAGCAGATTGAACACTGGAAGAAAATTGTGAAAACACAGGAGGAATTGAAAGATCTTCTTAACAAGGTGAGATGGTGACATTTAGAAAAAGAGGATAGCATTGTGTTCCTCAGAAAGTGGCAAAAGATGCAAAAACTTGTATTGAAAGATATAAAAAAGTGTTAATTTAAGACCTGCCTAGAAGAGCTGTTATGTCAAAGAAGTCTCCAATTTTAGAAGACGAGCACTAATAAGTGATTAGAAGACTGTAAAACAAATACAGGAAAAGAAAGGGAGAGGTGCTGTGTCATAACTTCCTTTAGAGCTATTGGTAATGAACTGAGGCTTTTGGGAGGCTGTTTTAAAATGTTGACTTTACCACAATCTGATTTCCTATTTACAATGTTTTTGGTTGTAGTAAAGGACATTTTACTTCTCCAAGGATATTTCTTAAATTGAAAATCACAGAATCAGATGTTGGGGGTTGGAAGGGACCTCCGAAGATCAATGAGTCCAACCTCCCTGCCAGAGCAGGACCAAAAAAACTAGGGCAGGGCACTCAGAAAGGCATCCAGACAGGTCTGGAAAGCCTCCAGAGAAGGAGACTCCACAACCGTTCTGGGCAGCCTGTCCTAGGGCTCTGTCACCCTCACAGGAAAGAAGTTCTTCCTCATGTTGAGGTGGAACTTCCTGGGCTCAAGTTTGAGTCCATTGCCCTGATCCTATCACAGGGCACAAGTCCCTACCTTCTTGAGCACTCATGTAATTATAGACATTAATGAGATCCCCCCTCAGTCTTATCCTCTCTAGACTGAAAAGCCCCAGGTCTCTTAGCCTTTCCTCATCAGACAGGTGTTCCAGTCCCTTCATCATCCTTGTAGCCTCCACTGGACTCTTCCCAGCATATCCAAGTCTTTCTTGAACTGGGGAGCCAGTAACTGGATACAAAACTCCCAAGTGAGATCTCACTAGGGCTGAGTAGAGGGGTGAGGAGAACCTCCCTAAGGGCAGCTCTCATATCCTAAGTTATTTGCAACATGTTTTTTAGAAATCAGTTATGTTGGGGTTAAGCTATGTTGTTTCAGCGTTGATGGTATTTATTGTGTTTTCTTGGACGTAGAATTGTATATAAGAAACATCTGCCAAAACCAGGAAATATCTTTGGTATAATGGCATTGTTTGAGATTAATATCCATTTTACACAGTATCTTTCATTAAATCTGCCTTTCCTAATTTTTTTTTTCCTTTTCCCTTTTCCTTACTGCACCTGAAAAAGATGGTTAATTTAAAAGAGAAGATTAAAGAACTTCACCAACAGTATAAAGAAGCATCAGAAGTGAAGCCACCTAGGGATATTACCGCAGAATTCCTTGTGAAAAGCAAACACAGAGATCTGACCGCGCTTTGCAAGGTAAAAGATGATATACGGTACTTAAATTAATGGTTTCTTTAATACTTTTGCAGCCAGATAAATTTAGCCAATATAAATGTTTCCACATCTCTAACTCTGATCCAAAACTCTCAAGAGAATGTGATTGGCGGTAACTCTGGGTTGAAACAGGACTGCATTAAGTACCTTTAAGGTACTTGTTTTTCATGGCTCATGATGGAGAGTATTAACACATCAAAGGCTCAGTGTTAGTTAACAGTCTGTGCTGGCCCATATCAGATGGCTTTGAATATTTTGAAGGGTAAATTTTAGGTTAGACCTAGTCATTTAGTGCTGCTGGGTCTCAGTATTCTGTAAATGAAATCTGTGTTTAAAGAGATATATTCTTTCTTTAAGACAAAAACAGTAGTTCCTTGAGTAAAAGGCTTCTTGCTATGCAGAGGTTATCAATTTGAGAGCTCTATCTTGCCAAGAAAAGGTAGTCCTCCCACCCTGTGTATCTTGATGTGGAGATACGCCTTAAGAAGGAAATCTTATAACTGTTCTTCCTTTGATAGTGGAAGACACCTTCCTAACCCCAGTCAGAAAGAACCAAGGTGAATTTTTCAGCTACTTGTTCAACAGAAGATATGTACCTTTATTTGGAAGCTCAATGTTTGTGTACACATCAGTAGCAGCTCCCAGCTTTGTGCCCTTGTCACTGTTATTGCACACGCCAGATTATTTTGCCTTGAAGGAAGAAAACTGTTGCCTTTAGTTCTGCTAATGTTTTTAAAATAAGAAAAAAACAAATCACACCTCTGGACCAGGTTTGGATTAGATAATGTCTTTGCCTTTTGCATGACTGTTTCTGCAGTGTCCACTAAGTTTGATATTAACTATAATCTTTTAAGAGAGAAAGAAGAATAGAAAGAACATTTTGTGCAATATGAAACAGCTCTCAGTGCTGTAGGAACCCTTAAAATACAAGGACTGTAATGGATCTTCTTGTTCTTCAGATCTCAGCGTTTTAACTCCTGAAATCTTCGCATGCTAATCTTTTCAGCAGTGTGGCATAATCTTCTGGGTATTCAAACAGTAGAAGGGCAAAATATGCTGGATTAAATGTTGAAAAAAAAAACTGAACTTCATTTAGATTCCACTAAAGCAAATATATCTTGCACTGATTTATCTTGAGATTAGGTCTAGTCTGATGCTACATGGTGATGTTTTAAGTCATTTTGCCTGTAAACTGATTTCAATCTTCGCTTTTAATCTTTAGGAGTACGATGAATTGGCAGAAACACAAGGAAAGCTGGAGGAGAAGTTACAAGAACTTGAAGCCAATCCACCAAGGTAAAGATACAAAAACTATAAAAGTAAATACTCAAGAAAACAGTTTGGGTTTTTTTAAATTTAAAAAATGCTATGGTCTGATTTGTTCTAATGATGGTAACTCAAGGAATGAAAAAGGTATGAACACAAAGTTCAAGCTACCTCAGCTTTAGAACTTACCTTCCTTGGTTTTAGAGGTGACTGAGGCAGAAAAGATGTTCTCACCTAGGGTGCATTTCAGTAGAAATCCTGACTGTAACTAGCGTCTGGTGTCAGGAAGCCCTTGAGGTGTGAACTCCTCATTAATAACGACAGCACACTATTGTGGGTTAACCTGGTGCAACCAAGGTCCACAGAGCTGCTTGCTTAGTGCCCTCCACTGGTGTGGGGAAGAGAGTTGGAAGGGTAAAAGGGAGAAAACTTGTGTGTTCAGATAAAGACAGTTTAATAGGTAAAAAAGTAGCCATGCATATAAGCAAGGCAAAACAAAGAATTCTGCTTATTTTGGCAGAGTATTATTTTGTGCTCTGTATCAGTATATGTATATCAGTATATCAGATTTTTAGTTGTCTTGTTTACACATGCTGTGAAAGCCATTATGTATGTAACTTCTATTTCTCAAGTTGAGATTCTAGCTTTACTTAGAATATTTTACATGAACTCTACTTTGAAAATGTGAATTTTCTGGGTTTTTTATATTCATTTTCCATGAAGGAGGTCTCAATGTTTGAAACACAATCTGCTAGTGTTCTTTTTTTTTTTTCATTTCTCCACTAAGGTGGAACTCAAAAAAGATTAAATAAATACTCAAGAGTAATGCATTTGCAACATCCTGCTCTGGCAAACTAAATGTCTTTGTTTTTTTGTTTTTTTTTCTAGTGATGTTTATCTGTCATCAAGAGACAGGCAAATACTTGACTGGCACTTTGCAAACCTAGAATTTGCTAATGCTACACCCCTGTCTACCCTTTCCCTGAAGCACTGGGACCAGGTAGCTAACTAATCTATTAATTCAGCAACATACTAAAACTTCAGCTGTATTTATTGCATTTTCATGGAAGCTTCTCTGTGTTAAGGTTCTGAACACATAAGTGCCATCTGCTTTTATACAGATTCTGAGCATTATTATTATTTGTTGGTGAAATTCCAGACAGCTTTTGTTAGTGCCAAAACGATCTCTAATGATACTATCTGCTTGTCACGGTTTGACCCAGGACCAGCAATTGAATCTGTGACAATAATGCTCTCAATCCCCTCCCTCCTCCATCAGGTAGGGAAGGGGAGAGGGAATAAAGAGAAAGAAACTTCTGGATTGAAAACTAAACTAGACAGCTTCAATTAAAGAGTAATGATACAAGGAAAAAAGTACAATTACATACAAGTGTGTTTAGGAATGTACAAACCCCTCTTGTCTCCCCCACCCCAGCAGCTCCCCCGGCATCTCCTGAGCTGTGAGCAGCCCCAAAATGAAGGTGGAACTCAAAAAAGATTAAATAAATACTCAAGAGTAATGCATTTGCAACATCCTGCTCTGGCAAACTAAATGTCTTTGTTTTTTTGTTTTTTTTTCTAGTGATGTTTATCTGTCATCAAGAGACAGGCAAATACTTGACTGGCACTTTGCAAACCTAGAATTTGCTAATGCTACACCCCTGTCTACCCTTTCCCTGAAGCACTGGGACCAGGTAGCTAACTAATCTATTAATTCAGCAACATACTAAAACTTCAGCTGTATTTATTGCATTTTCATGGAAGCTTCTCTGTGTTAAGGTTCTGAACACATAAGTGCCATCTGCTTTTATACAGATTCTGAGCATTATTATTATTTGTTGGTGAAATTCCAGACAGCTTTTGTTAGTGCCAAAACGATCTCTAATGATACTATCTGCTTGTCACGGTTTGACCCAGGACCAGCAATTGAATCTGTGACAATAATGCTCTCAATCCCCTCCCTCCTCCATCAGGTAGGGAAGGGGAGAGGGAATAAAGAGAAAGAAACTTCTGGATTGAAAACTAAACTAGACAGCTTCAATTAAAGAGTAATGATACAAGGAAAAAAGTACAATTACATACAAGTGTGTTTAGGAATGTACAAACCCCTCTTGTCTCCCCCACCCCAGCAGCTCCCCCGGCATCTCCTGAGCTGTGAGCAGCCCCAAAATGTCTCAGAGCTGCTGGAAAGAGGGCAGAGCAGCCAGGAGCTGAGGGGAGAGTGATGAGGGGCAGGGATGCACAGGCATGGGGGTCAATGGGGATGAACAGAGTCCTCCCTGGACACCAGCCATGGAAGGGAGAGAAGGGGAGAAGAAGCAGGAAGGGGCTTGACTTCCATGATCCCTGACCTTACACCGAGCTCACATGGATACATGTAATGGAATACTTGGGTCAATTTGCTGTCCATCTGGTCCACTCCTCCCTACAGGGGGCCTGCAGATAAAACTCTTCTGCTCCTCTAGGCATCCAAAATGGAAGCAGATTCAATAAGCAGAGCTTATTGGTCTCTCAGCTGCAACACAAACATTCCAGTGTTATCAGTCCACTGGCAGGAAAACTTGCTGCTAGTGAAGAGAGCTCACAAAATTAGAAAAAAATCAGTAAAAGGAAAATTGGCTTCTTCCTGGCTAAAACCAGGACACTACTGAAAAGTTCCTGTATGACTTGACTCATAAACAGGAAGGATTTCCAATTTATTTTACTCACTTTTTGCAAAAAAGTTTTGGAAGCATTTTGCCATCATGTAGAGTTGCTGATTGTTTTCTGCTGAATTACATTATTTAATTATAAACACATGCTTTTATGTATCTTCATTTCAGGATGATGACTTTGAATTTACAGGCAGTCACTTGACTGTGAGGAATGGATATTCCTGTGTGCCTGTAGCCTTGGCAGAAGGGTTGGATATTAAATTAAACACAGCAGTTCGTCAGGTTCGCTATACAGCATCAGGTAAATTTAAACCCCTCCTCTGGAAGACTGCTATGTGGGAGGGTGATCATAGAAATTAGATTTCCAGTAGATCTGGAAGCAGATTTGAAGGCTGACCTCATAAAGACACACACATTATACATTTTGGGTTAGATAAGCAGACACGTTTCTTATGGTGATTGTTTTTGTTTATTTCTGTGTCTCGTTTCACTTAATTGTTTTCAATTGTTTCAAAATTTACTAATTCATAAATTGGTATTCATTCTCCCATTTACTTAATTCATTGATTGGAGTGTTTGGAGTAATTGGTTTTGGACCACTTCAGGTGTGTTGCCACAGGATCTCATTTATCTCAGTATATCTCAGTGTAATATGGACTCAAATTGAAGGAATGCATCTTTTTGTTCTTCAGAACATTGGGCTTGGGAAACTGTCAGTTGGGAGAGCGATTCAGTGTGACGCTCACTCTCTACTTGCTATTTATTTATGCATATGCATTCTATGATTCTATATTTATGTATCATTTACTGGTCTAGATGAACCTTTAGGCTATTCTCAGTATGGCTGTTTTCAGATGCTGTGTAATTTACACTTTCTGGAATGTGGCCAGTAACATCCACTTGCCTACAGGTTAAGTAGTTGTTAGTGTAAAGCTGTCTCCATAAACAAAGTGTTTTCTGATGTGGATATGTTTTTATGGTAGTTTCTTTAATTTTTAACCCAATGCTCTTGTCTTCTGGTCTACTAAATGATTGTTTTTCTCTCCTCTTTCCAGGATGTGAAGTGATAGCTGTAAATACCCGATCTACTAGCCAGACTTTTATTTACAAATGTGATGCTGTGCTCTGTACTCTTCCCTTGGGAGTATTGAAACAGCAGCCTCCAGCAGTACAGTTTGTGCCACCTCTTCCTGAGTGGAAAACTTCTGCAGTGCAGCGGATGGGTTTTGGCAACCTTAACAAGGTGATTTGGTCATTGAGGGAACTGCAGCAGATCTGAGGTTGCAATAGGTAGAATCTGGAATACGTGGTAGATGAGAGGAAGCATGACTTGTTCATTTCTGTTGTGCTAGATTTCCATCCTGAAAATGATCTGAAGAACTGCAAGGACCTCTTCTCTATTTCCCACACAGTTCTTAAACAGCTAAATTTCACAAGTAGGTTAACTCAGTATGTTTGCCATAGCTTGTTAACCAGCAAATTGGTGAACTTTGAGAGCATAGTAACCTATAGAAGGCAGTATAGGCATACACATTTATGTATGTGAAATATATATTCACCAAATTTTCCTCTCTTGATCTTTCCAGTGATAAACATAAGTGACTGTAATTGTCTTTTGTTTTTTCCCCTGTGTGCTCTTCCTAACTCTTGATTCTTTTTGTTTCTAGGTCGTATTGTGTTTTGATCGTGTCTTCTGGGATCCAAGTGTCAATTTGTTTGGTCATGTTGGTAGCACTACAGCAAGCAGAGGAGAACTTTTCCTGTTTTGGAACCTGTACAAAGGTAGCTGTGGTGCATGTCTCCTTCTGCCAGTGTCTTATTTGTGTAGTTCCAGATCTAGAAGAGAGCACTTTTTTGATGCTATTAATGTTCATGTATGGGTATAAGATAATATTTGTAGAAAGACAAATGAAAGCAGCAAGCACCACCAACTTGCAGACAATTTTGTAGTAAATTATGGTGGAATGTGGACAAGTAGGTGTTTACTAATGCTGAATTCCAGGCTATCAATTGCATTGCTGCTTATCTACTGTAACATTTGCTTTCTTATAGGCTACTTTTTTGCCTTGCACCTTGGTGAATTTGTCCTGTGACTTACTCTGTGTTATTTTCAATGTTTCTAGTAAGCATGTAGTTGCCATGTTATACTGAAACATTTTTTCTATCCTTATTGTGCTGTGTTAAGAAATAAACCCACCAAAACAAGCCCTACTCTAACGTGTTTATATAGTATTAGAGAAATATAGGAAATAATGTGTGTTTGCCAAAGAGCAGTGTTGTTTTACTTAAGTATTGACTTTGTCAGGAATGTGTAATGTATGATATCTCTGTATAGTGGTCAGGGCAAACCAAAATCCAGAGAACAGAGCTGCTCTCTGTGACTCCCCTCCACCCTCCACGGGAAGATAAAAGGGGAATAATGAAGAGACACTTCAAGACTGGAAGTTAAAACTGGAATAGGTTTGCTGGAACAGGGAAGGTACTGTAAAATGTGGGATGAGGAAGAAATAATCACAAAATCCAATATCAATATTCACTGATATAAGTGTCTGAGGGTCCCTTGCGGCAGGGACCACTCAGGAAGAGGGTCCATTGCTCTTCACAGCACCCAGTGGATTCAGATCCTGCAGAGCATGTGGAGAGCTGATGATAAAGGGCAAGAAATGGGATAGAATCCTGGCTCCACTGTCTTCTGCCTCCTCAGGGTCCTAAACAGCCTCTCTTGAGGTTCATATATTGATACCACAAAATTATCCTCAGACCCTTCAAACCATAACAGTTTTGTTCTCAAAGATGATTTGATTGGGTGATTTGTTTTTGAAGCGTTTCTGAATTAAAAGCCGTTCCTTAGTTCATAAGTTTCTTTGAAATTGAAATTCTTTCTGGCCACTTCGAGCTCTGAAGATTCTTTGAGCTTTTCCCCTCCTTCACTTCTCATGCAAATGGGACTGGTATCCCAATTGTACTGGTTTGGTTTGGTGGGTTTTGGTAGTGGAGGACGGGTCCCACAGGTGGCTTCTGTAAGAATCTGAAAAGCTTCCCCATCTCCAAAACCTCTGGTCAACAGAGCCATTAGAGAGGCAATAGGCAAGGCCTGTGCGATTAACATGAAAAAAGGGAAGGAAACCTGAGAGCAGAGTCATGAGCAGTGCTGGTCTGTGGGGAAGGGCAGTGAGGAGGTGCCTGAGCAGAAGTTCCCCTGCAGCCCGTGGTGAGAAGGCAGGTTGTGCTCCTGCAACCCATGGAGAAGCACGGTGAGGTAGATGTGGATGGGCAGGCCATGAACCTCGACCTGCAGCTGTAGAGGACCACAAGCCAGGGGAGGTGGCTGAGCCTGAAGCAGCCTGTGGCTCTGTGTGCAGCCCATGCTGGAGCAGCTCCTGAGGGAGGTGAGAGGGACTCATGGTGGTTAAAAATCTTTCCCATGGAAGGGACCTTGTGGAGAAAGAGGGGAAGATTGGAAGGAATCCTTCTCCCTGAGGAGGAAGGAACAGCAGGAACCACCAGCCTGTGAACTGGCTCTAAACCTCATACCCCAGTGCCACTGGGGGGAAAGAGGGAGATAAATGAGGAACAAAATTATTTGGACCCAGGAAGAAGGGATGGGTGAGATATTTAAGCTCTGGGGTTTTTTTTGTTTTATCTGTGTCCTGTTTGTATTTGATTAGTGGTAAAGTAAATGGAATTTTTTTTCCCCAAGTTGAGTCTGTTTTGCCTATGACCATAACTGGTGAGTGAACCCTCCTTGTCTTTGTCTCAACCCATGAGCGTCTAGTTGGTTTTTGTCCTCCCCATCCCACAGAATGTGTGATGGGGGTGGTGAATGAGGGGTCATGTGGCTGGTTCTTTCTTGTCAGTTAGGCCCAAACCCATTTAGTCTTAATTCTGAAAATTTCAGCTTCCTGGATATTTTTCAAGTTGAACTGACAGTATGAAGCTAAACCTCTTTTATGGGGCTGTCTGTCTAATTTGGGATGATTTGATAACTCTAGATGAGCCTCTTTCATCTATAACCTCAAGTCATTTCTGGTACAGGTGATGTCACTGCCCAGGATTTCAAACCTAAGTGTCTAGGATCTAACAAAGATAAATTACTTTTTCCAGATTTAGGGAATACTATTGACATGTGTATTCTCTTACGTGGTGGAATTGCAGAACTCAATGCTTGTAGGTTATCCTGCTTCATTTTCTCAGAGGGCTACAGCACAGTCTTTACAGAATATCAAACACTCCAATTTCAGTGGAGCAGATTTTGCAATAACTCCATTCCTCTTGCTTGGAGCATTACCATTCCATCTTGACAACCTGCAGACCCATCCATATTGTTGAGGTACAATGTGCCCTGGAGGAAATGCAAGATGTGATGTCTCCAATTCGTTGTATTAATGACCTTGTTTCCCATTTTGAGCAGCAAAATGGCTGTGACTGTAGACTGTGACTCTCAGACTGACAAATAATTTTAGAACTCCTCTTTAGAAAATGCTTAAACAGGTAAAAGTTATCGCTCTGCCTGTTTCTACAGCTGGACTTTGCCATTAGTAGCTTTGTTTTGTCTGTAGCTGGTGTTTGCCACCAGAAGTTGCCAGAAGGTATTTTCAGTAAGCATACTGTTCTTTTTGTTCCCATTTCTCATATTAAAAGCAGAGATGCAGTGCAGTGAGCATTATGAAATTAGTTGTTTTTCTTTCCTGTCCCAGACTAGCTGGCCTGTGCTCTTGCTGTGTCTTGCTCCACCATACTGTTGGACTATGGTTGTAGCTGTACCTCAAGATGGAGAGATTCCATCAGCACATGGCAGAGGAACTCCTTGCAGAAATCCTCAGTGTTGGCTGGAAGTCCAGTGACATTTTAGCCTCTTACTTTCTTGCCTGTCTCTTCTATTTTTCCTGGAGATGTAATGGAAGTGAAGACAGCCTTTCTCTCTTGTCATTGTTTAGTGGTTACTCACTGATCTCTGAATAAATCACATTCTCTCCTTGCTACTTGGTATCAAGGCGTAATAAATAAATATCACTGTGACTTTTGTGGAGCAGTGACACATTTATCGTGTAAGAAGCTTTTCTGAGCACCACTTTGGTATTTCTGTGGCAAAAATTCCCAATGCCTGTGGATGATAGTAAACAAGTTTTTCATTCTTTCCTTCAATTGATTGAAAACTAGGCTTAGTCTTTCAGAAAACTGAGTTTCATTAGAGGAGCAATACCATATATTTTTTTCTCTAATAAACTACTTCTAGTCCCAGAGGTTCTGTGTATTGAAGTGTCTTAATTGTATCATGAGTAGTGTCATTATATTTGTAGTAATAACAACCTTAGTAGTATAACTTCTTCAGAATTCCAAAGATTTTTTATTTTAGCTAGAATATATTATGGGTTTTCCAATGTGAATGTATACCAGAAGATCTCCATATATGCCAGGATATAAGGAATTCACTAATTATATTGGAAACCTCTACAAAAGTTAAAGCCAGATTTTTAACAAGGACTTTATTTCCCATTTAATCTTTTTCTAGCTGTAGTTTTTCCTTTGCTAAATTTAGAAGTTCAGAAATATCTCCAGGAGGAGAAAGATCAACTGAGAGAGTTTTCTTTAAGTAACTGTGCTTGGGTCTTCTTGTGACTGCACGTTTCTTGCCATTGGTTTGTCTTGGTAGCTCTTCAATACTTACCTAAGATTTTCCTTGAATTAGTGACCACCAAAAGGTGTGCTTAGTCTTATCATGGTTGGTTAGAGGTAAAATGATCTTATCTTGTCTTATTAGTTTGTATATCCTGTGGTCACATTAAAACTCTTTGCTACAGCATCATATGGACAGCTGAGTTATTTGGTGTCTGTCCATTTGACTTGTGAATTCCTCTCGGAATTGCTGCTTTCCTGGATAATGTTCTACCATTTGTGGTTTCCAGTCCACTGATACTATTTAATGTGAATGTGCATTGGTACGGAAGAAATCTAGATACTTTATATGAGTTAAGTACTTATACAGGTAACTTAACTGCTATGTTGATGTTAATTGTACCTATATTAGATGGTTTGGAAAGTACTGAGTTCCCTTAAACGCAGCACGGATGACTGCTAAGTCCCAGTGGAAACTCCTATGTCAAACAGCTGATGCCTTCACTAAAGAAAACCTTTCTTCTCTGATTAAAAATGTTCCATTTCAATAATTCATTTGTTTTTTCTTTCTCCTTTCCACCCTATCCCCAACTCCAGCACCAATTTTGTTGGCCTTGGTAGCAGGAGAAGCAGCAGGGATCATGGAAAATATCAGTGATGATGTCATTGTTGGACGTTGCCTTGCCATCCTGAAAGGCATATTTGGTAGCAGTGCTGTGCCACAGGTTAGTGCAGACAGTGTCTGTGGGGACCTTCTCGACATTTCAGAATGTACTACAACTCTCAGTAGCTTCACTGCAGTGTGGAGCTCTTTGCTGCGTGTACCACCTCTGGGTTGTTCAGAGTTTTTTGGGAGGAGGGGTTGTGTGTGGGTTTGAGGTTGGTTGGTTTTGGTTTTCCCTTTTTTTTTTTTTTTTATTCTTTTGGATTGGGTGGGTTTTGTGCTTTTGGGTTCTTTTGGGGGTTTGTTTGGGGTTTTTTTGAGAACGTTGTCTTAGACTGACTTAAGTCTCTAGCTTTTCCAGAGTGTCAAATACTTCAGTTAATTTTCTACCTTTTACATTTCTGGAGTTACAGCAGAGCTGTCCATGGCTAGTGAGAGCACTGATTAGATACTCCCTGCCATGTTCTGCACCTTCTCTAAAGAGCTGTAAAGCTCTTGACCAGTGAACTCCACAAAGATGTTGATTTGACTGGAAGGTGACTGGATGGGGAGGAAGAAGAGAGTAAAGTCAGTCTTTCATCTGGATCAGCTCCTTGTGCAGCTAGCCAGTGGTTATTTAGGCACAAGAAGTGTTAAGAGAATGGTTAGTGAAGAGGGAGTTTAGAAAATAATTAAATATTACTTGGAAAAGAAAAAAAGCAGCTTGCATACTTGGGACATGAATCTGAAAAGTCTTGTAGCTGTTCAACTTACAGTGTGTGTGACTTAGTTGAATTCTTGGTCTGTTCTCCTAACAGGCAGTGTGGGAGCAGTTTTTACAAATGGCATTGGTTGTAAATAAATAGTTCTCTGCTGGGATTTCTTTGTAGTAAAGTAATAAAAAAAAGTACATGGTAACTTTAACGTACCAGTGTTCTCTGAGCATTTGGTCAGGTGTGAATTGGACTGTTTGCTTGGTTGGTATTTCACATGAGGAATAAATTTACTTCATTGTGTTTGTTGTAGAGCTCTTCTTGATCACGGTTTTATGATCCCCAGTATTTTACTGCTTTCTCTATGATGGACAGACTCACAGCTGATTGTAAGCATAGATTTTATAGATAATGAGTGGAGCAAAAGCTGTGTGCAGTAGGTTCTGGTAATATACTGGAAAGAATTAAGGTATTGCCACCAAAGACAAGTTATTTACCTTACTATGTGTTATCATGCAATATAAACTTGGAGTTCTACCATTAACATCAGCCTAGGGAATTTTTGTCTTTTTTTCTTGCAATGTGTATCTTTTGTATTTTGCACTAACTGTAAAACTTGCACTGGGTCAACAACTGAAGTTTCTGTCTTGTCTCAGCCTAAAGAGACGGTGGTGTCCCGCTGGCGTGCCGACCCATGGGCCCGGGGTTCATATTCCTATGTAGCAGCTGGATCTTCTGGAAATGATTATGATTTGATGGCTCAGCCAATTACTCCTGGGCCAGCCATTCCAGGTGCTCCTCAGGTGAGAGATTCCTTAGTTCTTTTTAGAAAATCCTCAACAAGTTTAGATAATGTGTATCTTCTGACGAATGTTTAGAACCTGTAAAATAAGTTTTCCATCCATGATTTCTGCTTTCCAGATTTGGTGTAATTTCTTTACTAGAAAAGAGCATTTTTATTCAGAAAGTCAATTTGGTAATGTCTGAAGAGAGTCTTATATTATACATTTACTGGGTTTCATACCCCGTATTTATGTTGTGTCCAGATGGGTCTTGGAAGTCTCCAGAGAAGGAGACTCCACAGCCTCTCTGGGCAGCCTGTCCCAGGGCTCTGTCACCCTCACAGTGAAGAAGTTTCTCCTCATGTTGTGCATGCAAGTTAAAATTTTAAATATAGCCTCTTTTATATGCACTGCCTTCATGTTAATGGAGACTGTGGTGTGATTAGAAGAAGACTTTTAACATTTTTGGAACATGGGCATATGTAGCAAGAGGACAAGGGGCAGTGGTTTAAAACTTGAAGAAAAAAAAATTAGATTAGATAGTAGGAGGAAATTCTTTACTATGAGGGTGGTGAGACACTGGAACAGGTTGCCCAGGGTGGTTGTGAAAGCCCCATCCCTGGAGGTGTTGAAGGCAGGTTGGATGGGGCTTGGAGCAACCTGGACTGGTGAGAGGTGTCCCTGCCCATGCAGGGGGTTGGAACTGGATGGTCTTTTAAGGTCCCTTTCTATGATTCTAAGATTTCTATGGACATTGTTAAAATACCTTGTTAGGGTATCTGAAAGAACACAAACAAACCTTAACAGTTCTCTGTCCCCTCAGCCCATCCCTCGCCTGTTTTTTGCGGGAGAACACACGATTCGCAACTACCCCGCGACTGTTCACGGGGCGCTGCTGAGCGGACTGCGAGAAGCCGGTCGCATTGCAGACCAATTTCTTGGGGCCATGTATACTCTACCTCGCCAGCCTACGCCTGGGATCCCCCCACAACAAGCTACGAATATGTAAGAAAATCAGAAGGTATCAGAAGAGGAGTGATGAGGCCACAGTGCTGCTCTGGTGAACGCTTTGGGATGAAGATACTCATGTAGTCAGTGACAGCATCTCCTGAAAGGACCTCACCATGAATTACTTTGTAATAATTCCATTAGAATGGCCTTACAAAACCAACTTTTGGTTTGGCATCCTCTTATAAAATCTCTTATAGCTATCTGAAGTGTCAGAGTACACAGAATCCTTTACTACCAAGCTAGTCAGGGATTTCTTTTGACTCCGTAGATACTTTTTGAAACTCAAACTAATAGCCAAAGGGGTTTTCGCTACCCATACATGTATTTGCAGTTTGGTATGACACAAGGCCCTCTAGAAGCTGGTACAAGCAGTAGCTTTTTGTAGAATTTGTGAACTTCCATGTTGTTTTGTTGACTTTTTTTTTTTTGTTCTGTAGAATAATAGTTTTTGACCAATCTTGTTCTTCTCTGGGATTTGAGATATGGATGCAAGTCTTTCCCTATCAGTAGCAGCAAATCATACCGGAGATATGGATGCAAGTCTTCCCCTACCAGTAGCAGCAAATCATACCACTCCAAAATGGTCCATTGGCAGCTACCCCATATGCATTTTGTTTTAGAAAGAAAGCTGAGATTACTGTGACTGTGCTAAGCAAAGTGGTACATTAAATACATTCAACAGAAGAAATAATCACAATTGGATATTTGTTAAGTTAAAAACTACAGAATTTATTCACATTTGTTTATGTAAAAACAGAATTGTCTAGACATTAAGTCAGCTGATTGGCCTAATCTCTCTTGATTTCTTTGCTGCGCTCTGTATACCTGTGGTGTTTATTTCTCCTATGTTGATGAGGTGATGTTGAAGCTGCCATTGTTGAGCTTCTGAAAATAACTTTGCTTTGGCTGCTTTTCTAAATATTTTTCCCTCTTACTCATTCAGCACTTAAAGCATTCCTTTCATTTCAGAGCAATCTTATTTCAACATTTAGGTCCTTTTCCCCCCTCTCCTCCTTTCCTCATTTAGCATTAGACTTTGATTATGTCTTTCAGCTTTTCTCATCCTCCTCTTTCAACAGTTTATTCCTCCCTCTAACTGTGGTTTCTGGGCATACTGTTTCTTCTGCTTTTCAGTTTTTCTGTTCTCAATCTCTCTGACCCCATGTCTATACCATGTGCAGTCTGTCCCAAATTCTTTTTGTCCTTGCACCTTCTGTTCTGGTAGAGGTTCAGTACCTCCACTTGTTTGATGTTTATCCCTCTACAATTCTGCCCACACTAATTCCTGAAGAAGATACACACTCAAATACAACTGCAGCCTCTACTTGCTTGTAGCTCTATTGTCTTTGGCCATGGACTCTCCATCTTCTGGCATTATTCCTTCTGCTGTTTTCTTGTGTCTCCTCCTTAGTAGCTGGAGATCATTCTTCTGACTACCTTTATTGTCTTCTGGTTGGTTTCTCATTAGACACAAAAGTCTAGGAGGGGATGTCTCCATAGGCAAGCTATGAGAAAGGGGAGGACTCTGTCTGATGTGGCAGGAGTAATAGTCTGAATTGAGGTGTCAAGGACTAAACTCATTTGGAATGGCTGGATTTGGAGGACTCTATCTCAAACGTGGCTCAGTGTCCCTCTCCTGTATCTCTAATTTTGCAAATGATTTTGCACCTTGAGCTCTCCCCAGCAACACTGCTCATCCTGGCTTCCCAGGGGATGAGACAGACTGAAGTGGAGCAGGAACTGGAATTCCAACAGGGCATAGAGGAGGTGTGTCCAGGGGATGACTGAGAGTAAGTCTGAGACTCAGGACTCCCTGCCTTACGGTAAAAGCCTGTCAGCACTATTACCCAGAAAAATCATGTTCCAGAGTCAAAGGTGTGACAGGCCTCTGTCAACCAACAGCTGATCACTGGTGTGTGATACTTGTCATTCCTCAAGGAGGTACTCTCCCAGCAGTTAGCAATTATTGCCCTGCTGCTTCTGTCATCCCAAGTAGTGCCTTCTGCTGTGCTTCAAATGGTGACTCTGAGTCCAGATTATCAGTCTTAAGTGTTTAGCATATTGCTCTCCTCTCCCTGTGCCAGGTTCTGTTAGATGGACCCTTGGCCTGACCCATAATGGCTGGTCCTATTTAAATGCTGCCTGTGCAGCCTTCCTACCCACTGAGCTACTGAGGAGATGGCATTGTAACTAGATCACTAGGTCCACTTCATCTCAGCATCCTTCCTTGTGGTGTAGACCTTCTTCCCATTGCTACTGTCTGCTTGTCCTGACCCCCCTTGGAATTGACTTACCTGTTTCAGCAGATTGTGAATGAACTTTGTCAAAGGTTTGAAGCTGCTGGACAGTCACAAAACCTTGTGATCAAGTCTGGTTGCACCCTTTGAAGAATATCTTTCCACCTATTCTCAGGAACTTGCCACTTCTCACCCTACTCCACAGGTTGGTGAATTGCATTTCTGAAAACAAAAATGATTGGTAGCCATTTCAGAAAGAAAACCTCCCTAGTTGGACCTCTCTTTCTGGACTGAAGATGAAGGACCACAGTAATCTCCACAGGGTTCTGAGTTATAGAATCATAGAATGATTTGGGATGGAAGGGACCTAGAAGATCATCTAGTTTCAACCTCCCAGCAAGGTCAGGGACACCTTTTACTAGACCAGGCTGCACAAAGCCCTGTCCAACCTGGCCTTTAACACGTCCAGGGAGTGGGCAGCTAAAACATCCCTGAGCAACCTGTTCCAGTGTCTCACCACCCAAACAGTAAAGAATTTCTTCCTAATGACTAACTAAAATCTCCCTTCTTAAAGTTTCAAACCATTACCCCTTGTCCTGACACTACACACCCTGGTAGAAAGTTCCTCCCCAGCTTTTCTGTAGGACCCTTTCAGATACTGGAAGGCCGAAGCCTTCTCCAGGCTGAACAATCCCAACTCCCTCAGCCTGTCCTTAATAGGAGAGGTGCTCCAGCTTGGATCATCGTCATGGCCTCCTCTAGACTTGCTCCAAGAGTCCTGAATGAATGGATACATTCACTGGTCAGATGAAGGTTTTTGGATGGGGTCCATCTGCAGGAAGACTTGCACTTTTCTGTTCTCCAGATCCTGTGGGTTTGGCATCTACTCTGCAAGAAACTCATTAGACTAGAGTCTTTGTTTTCAGTCTTTGTATGAAAGTGAGACTATTTGTCATGGTCTTGTCTATAATGGAAATAAATTGCAAAGCAGGGGTTTGCAATTACTCTCTAATTAAGATGTTACCTTAGTAATTGGCCATTATAAACTTGGAGGAACAATTTCACTTGAATGCTTCTTTTTTTTTTTCCATTATGAATCTTTTCATTTGACAAGATCTCTTACTGTATTTCTGTGGTCAACAGGGTGCTCAGTGTTTATTTTGTCTTTAAGCCATGAATTGGCTCCATAAAGTAACTGAATTTATTTGTATATTTTGGATTCTTCTAAAGGTGATCATAATTCCATTAGTTACTTTTCCCCAGAATGTTTATCAGACCATAATTACAGCCCATTATCTGGTTTGTTTGCAAGTTTGCTGCTTTTACCAATTATTTTTTTGCAATTTCCAACATCTCTCATTTCTGAAGAATGAGAGAAATATCAGCAATATTTGTTGATTTGGAAGGAATATTGGAATTGACAGGAAATGCTTACAGTGACAAAGCACTCAGATATTACGGAACTGTTGGCACACTTCTAAACCTTGTCTTCTCGGTGTTTATCAGTATTTATCCAGCATTAGCTGGATAAAAACCCACAAGAAGTCACCTTTAGAAGGTCAGTGGAGAGTGAAAGCATCCCTATAATTACCTGTGTGCAGCAGTTGTGGAATGTCTTATCAAAAAAACAAATTGTTTTAAAATTAATTTTTTCCAGCTTTGCTGATTTGTCTGCTGAAAGCTGTTGCTTCTCTACTAATACAAATAGACTGACTTTGTAAAGCTCTTAGAGTTTTTGGAGTCTGTCCATTCCTTCCAGCTGCTAATAAGCATCAAGTCAACATGGTGTTTAGAAATTTCTTGGAAAGCAACAACTCTCAGAGGCTGAGAAATGCAATAAAATACCCAATGCAAGTATTCAAGTCAGGAATGCAGCTGAGGCTGCACAGTCCTGCACTTGTGTGTTTAGTGTCATCACATTCTTACATATGTACATAAATTTGGGGCAGAGGAGCTGACCCAATTCTCTGTCCCCATTTCCAACCAACCAAAGGTCATGGTGATCTGGTGGTACTGGGAGCCTTCCAGCCCTGTGAAGTGCAGCTGTGTCAAAGAAACCCAAAGAGGAGACGCTTTCACTGTGAGCTGTGTCCAGGGGTGTCTTGCCAATGAATTTATGAGGAAGGCTGACATCTAGACTGGCCTTTCCTCAGTGATGGGAATGGGGCTGTTCTTGCACTGATACACTCAGAATTTGCAGTTTCTCATGCAAATATTGTCTGATTTCAGAAAATAACAAGCAAAAAATAGTAACAGGAGGGTTTTGCAGAATTACGATGTTTTAAGCACCTGCTTTCTCACGTGACGTTATATATTTTCTCTACATCAGTTGTCTAGACCCTGTCCAGCTGCAATTCAGAGAAACTCATTATGTCCCTGTGTCCAAATAATTTCATGACCTTTGAGTCTGTTCATTAGGGCTTTAAGTTCTGATAATGTGGGACCTACACATAGATCTTTCTTACTAGTATATGACCAATGTGCCATGCTCATGGACCTCAGGTACTGTTAGTGCAGTTATGTATCATCAGCTCCAGGACCTCTGGAAATTGTTTCCATTTACCACTTCCATGTTCCAGACCCAGCTCACAGTTTTCCACTCTCACATAAGCTTTGGATATATTGTCAAGAGCAGCTGCTCCAAAGCAGGGTGAAGCTGCAGTGGAGCTGTGATGAACAAGTGGTTGTCAGCCCACAGAAGAGGACCTAGCTAAGGTTTGCGCTCTGCAGGAAGCATCTCCAGAAGGAATGTGATGACCCACATGGAGCTCCCACTCACACATATGGCTGTGCAGCTCTGACTACAGGGCTGCCCAAGCCTGACACTGGTACTGAAGGGCAGCAGGGATGAAACCTGTGGTGTGACCAGG